AGCCGACATTAGCATAACAGTATCGCGGAGCAGACAGAGCAGGGAGCACGGTGATTGGCTTAGCCATCAGACACACCTTCAGGACTGGATGACATAAGAGTGTGGCTCCTGGCTTCACAGTCCCAAGTTGATCATATCCTTTAGGGGTCTGCATACGCACCACTTGTCCCTCTGCCAAAGGTTGTAGTGGGCGACTCGACTTGTCGTAGTGGCGCTTCAGAGTGAGTCTTTTGTTGAGGAGTTGGGCGTTGATTTCCTGGGTGTTTTTTGGGGCTGGTTCCAGTAGTTTAGTGCTCACGGGAATGGCTGCGCGTGTCTGTCGTGACATCAGACGTTCAGCGGGGGAGCCTAAAGTCGTATCACGGGGAATGTTTCTGAGGTTCAAAAGATTGAGGAAGACATCGGTTCTATCTCGGTGGGATTTCTCCATCAACTGCTTGGCACTGCGGACCGCTCTCTCTGCAAGCCTGTTCGATTGGGGAAATTCAGGGCTGCTGGTGGCATGGATGAAATCCCATTGTTTGGCAAAGTCTTTAAAATGCTGACTGGTGTATTGTCTAGCATTGTCAGAAAAGAGGGTGTGCGGCGTGCCATGGACTGAGAAATGTCTTTTCAGCTTGGAGATCACAGCTGATGACGTAATGTTAGGGAGAAGGTCGATTTCGAACCATCCAGAATATGAATCCACAAGCACAGTATTTGCCATGCCACTCGAAGATGTCTGTGGCTACTGTGGACCATGGAATGTCCGGAACAGAGTGAAGTTCCAGAGGTTGTCTTTGCTGATGGGGCCTGGTGCTGTTGCACACCGTGCATGAGAGCAGCTCCTTGGAGATGTCATCGGACATTGTTGGCCAGAAGATGATGCCTCTAACTCTGTGCTTGGTCGCTTCAGCGCCTGGGTGACCTTGGTGCACAATGTTTATTTACTCTTTATGCAGTGACTGGGGGATGATGGTTTTGTGGCCTTTCATGACAATTCCATCCTCCACTGTGAGTTCGTCTCTATAAGGGAAGAAGACTTTCACAGCAGGCTGGAGCTGGCTTTCTTTGGTGGGCCAGCCTGTTCGAATGGCCGTGCTGAGGGTTTGTAGGACCTCATCCACTGCTGTGTGCCTTCTGAGTTCCTCCAGACGGGCTGTGGAGATGTAGCTCACCGACATGACTTCAAAAGCGTCATTTTCAGTGGGGCTCTGGGATATCAGCGTGTTTGGGGCTCTTGAAAGAGTGTCTGCCAGATACATGTATTTTCCTTTTTTGTAAACTAGGCTGATGTCGTAGCACTGCAGCCTGAGTAACATTCTCTGGAGCCGGGCAGGGGCGGTGTGAATGGGCTTTTTCAGGATTGTTACAAGAGGCTGGTGATCGGTTTCCACAATTGTGGGCTTTCCATATATGTAATCCTTGAATTCCGTGCAGGCAAACACCACAGCTAGAAGCTCTCTCTCAATCTGGGCATATCGAGTCTCCGTGTCCGTGAGAGTTTGTGATGCAAACGCCACTGGTCTGCCGTTTTGCATGCATGCAGCTCCAAGTCCATAGCATGATGCATTACTGGTGAGTGTGACTGGCGCCTTGACGTCATAGTATGCCAACACTGGTGCGCTGGACAGGCATGACTTGACACCTATGCTTTGCATGCGTTCGAGTTCAGCTTTAACTCATTCCTGCATCGCGACCGGGATGCGGTGGGCTGGCCGGACTACGGGCTGTATGCTGGGATCCACCGTCATGGAGTATGTGACTGGGAGTTCCCCGAGCTCGTCACTGAACAGGTCTTTATACTGTGTTAGAATCAGTGTACTGAAGTCCGTGTTACTCAGTGGTGAGTTGATGGACATCTGGACTCATTTTGTCCACACACGCACGAAATCCTAGCAGCGGCTGTACCTCTTGGTCCACTATGAAGAAAAGCAGTGAGTGGCACTCCTCCTTTAAACAGCATGACAGTGTAACCAAGCCAGTGGTCTCAATTTTGGTGCCTCCATAAGCAACAAGGTTTGTAGCTTTGTTCTGCTTCACAAGTTGCTCTCCATTAGTCACACGTTTGAAAGTCTTTTGTGACATAACATTACATTTTGCCCCTGTGTCGACTTTCATTTCAGTGGGTCTGTTGTTTATGTGTATTGTGACGAATCCTTCGTCCTTCTTGTCAGCTTGAAATAATACACAGTCAACACCATTGTCAACTTTGACACCATCCGCATAGAATGTTTCATCTTCGCACGTGGGCTGTTCCACTGCGACTTCATGCACAGACTGTCTGAAAGTCTTCCTGCTTGTATTGCTTTGGTTGCGTGTTGCAGACATGCAGCAGCTTTTGTAGTGGTTTAGCTTCTTGCAATTGTGGCATTGTTGTCCGAAGGCTGGACACTTGTCCCGTTTAGCTGCATGGCTACCTCCGCAATTATTGCACTTTGTGACGGTCTGGGAGACTGTATGGGGTTTTGACTGGTGTTGTCTGCTTGGAAATGGCATAACTGCATCAACATCAGTCGCTTGTGTGGCCAGTGTCTTGATATTTTCCTCTGTCATTTCGTGAATGCGACAGATTGAGAAGGCTTTGGCAAGTGTTAACTCACTATCTCTGAGCGGAGATTTTCTCAAAGTGTCACTGGTAATTCCACACACGATCCGGTTACAGATGAGCTCGTCAGTCAAATCTCCAAAGTGGCAAGTTTGAGCTTTTATCCTCAAATCACTGAAGAATGACTCAATACTCTCACCTTGTTTCTGATTTCTTGAATGAAACTTGTGTCTTTCCATCGTTCTGTTGCTGTGGGGATTGCAGATTTCACGAAATTTCCTCTTAAGGCAGTCCGGATCCTCCCTGGACTCCGCCGGGGTGATGACCGCTCCGTCATCTCCGGGTCCGCGCACTTCAGCCGCATAGACGAACGAACACTCCCGTTCTATGGCTTCTGGTCCAGCAAGGTTGAGGAGAATATAAGCCCTTGTCCTTGCAGGCTTGTCAAAATGTGCTGCAGCAATAAAAATGTCGTACTCCCGCTCGAAAGTGCGCCAGTTCTCGGCGACATTTTCATCAAAAACAACGGGGTCGAGTCTGCGAAATCCATCCGCCATGTTGTCCTCTGAAAAACAGCGAACCACCGGTTAAAAAAAATAAAAAGTTTACCCACAGGCGAAAAGTCCGTACCGTCTTCTGACACCATGTAGAAACTCATACGTTCCTGTGTGCGAGTCAAGGATCAAGGACACACTGGACTTTGAATATAACTCTGGTTTATTGATGAACACAGAACCGAATGAGACTGAGCCGACATTAGCATAACAGTATCACAGAGCAGACAGAGCAGGGAGCACGGTGATTGGCTTAGCCAT